AATAGATATTATATATATATATATATATATATATATATAATATAGCTAAATATTTGTGATAATATTTATTGTTATGATAGTCATTTGTCAATTTTTGAAGGATTTTAACACCTATTAAAGTCTCGAAATAGTTGTTAGACTATAAAGGCTACATATGGGGATCAATATAAAAAGAAGTAATTTCAAAGGGATATATGTGCAAAATAGCCGCGCTTTGAATAAGCACACATCCGCGTTTCCCTCCGCCCTCCCAACTCGCCCTAATCCCCCTCGTCGCCGCCATGTTCTCTCCTCGCCTCTCCTCTCGCCCTTCCCACCACCTTGATGGTTCGAATACGAACCGACGTCCGCCTTCTTCGTCAGCGGGTTGCCGCCGCCCAAGAAGCGATCTCAAGCTTGCTGCTCATCTTGTCTCCGATCGATCCCGACCGCACCGAAGGTGGCGATGCTTCATAGGTCTCGGTTCTTGACCTGGAGGCCTACGATTCGGGAGATCCGATCACTTGGAAGAAGGTGTGGGAGATCGTTTTGTTTGCCAGTCCGGGACGGAGGCTCTGCATCCACGGCTCGACGATGAGACCGGTTCTCCAACCAGGGTAACCACCGCGTCTCTAATGTTTCTTGAGCGTTTCTTGGATGACTTTCCTTCTCTGGTTCTCGATCGTGTAATGGGTTTGTTGGTGATTAGGGCCGGGAACGATTGTTCTGCGATTGTGTTGAGCCTCATCGATGCGATGGTTACGGGCCTGGGAAGATGCTGGGACCTCGCCGCCATAGGTGATTTCCGTCTCTTGAGGTTTTCTTGGATGCGATTCTTGACCCTGGAATTCGCTTATGATTAGGGCCGGGAAATGTTCCTTGCGATTACCTGTGCCACATCTTCATGTTTCTGTCGATCGCCGCTGCACGACTTCACCTCGGACATGATCGCCACTTGGTAAGACTCTAAGTCTGTGTAGATGGATTAGTTTTGTTTAAGCCGTAGCTTTGTTGAGGTAAGCATAGATTATCTCATAGTTAATTATCAGTAGTATCTCGATGTTTGTACTTAAAAAAATTAAATTAATATTCATCTAGGTTCATTTACTCTAATATTGTCGGTTTTGCAAACAGAAACACAGATAAATTATAAAAAGATAATTTTAATATTTTTTATGATGACGGATGATGTCGATGGTGGTACACGGTAGTGATTTCAATAAGCGCTCGGGTGCTCACTTAGGCCCTAAGGCAAGACGAGACGAGGCTCAAATACCTCGTTTCATTTCCAGGCGACGCGCTTCAAAGAGCCCAGGCGCCGGGCGCTTTGGGCGAGCGCCCTGGTTAAACCAAGCGACCGAACCAGTGTTTTAGGTCTGGTTCGATCTTCGATGCTTTAGTTGGTTTAATCGAACTAACTAAAGCATCGATATCAGTCTGCCTCTTGTGACTTCCTAAACCTAACCCTGCTTGTCGCTGCTACCATTGCCACTGTTGTCGCTTATTGCTCTCATTGCCACTGTCGTCGCTCGCCGCTCCTACTCGCGCTCCCGTTGCTACCATTGTCGTTGCCATTATCATTGCTCGTTGCTCTCACTGTCGTTGCTCGCTACTACCATTGTCGTCGCTCGCCGCTACCACTATCGTCGCTCCTACTCCCACTATCGCTGCTCTCAATTAGCAGTCTCGATCTTTCTCTTACTCACACTCTTCTCACTTCGATAATATACTGTTAACAGTATATTAACTGTATACTTGTAATAATATTTTTTTATTAAATTAATAATATATTATTTTGATTTTAATACTATTAATTTTTATTTATTTAAAAATATTATTATTATTTTGAATTTTGAGACTTTTTAATATGGTATTATGATTTTATAAGATTTTTTAAATTTAATATCATATTATATATTTTTATATTTTAATGTCTCGTTTCGCTCGGGCGAGCGTCAGGCGCTTCGGGCGTTTTTTGACCTTGGCGCCTAACGCTTTTTAAATCACTGGCAGACAATAGCATCGTTAGGGTCGCGAGTGACTGTTGTGGATGATGAGAGCGACAATGAGAGGTGAGAACTTCTCTGCATTTGCGTTAAAGCCGACGCTTTGTGGAGCGACGAAAGGGTTGTCGATGTAAATGTCGAGCGTCATCGTTCAACAATTACATCAGCATCGATACAAATACAAAGTGGCCCTTATCTTTTGTTGTTGCTTTCCTCATTCATAACAGTCACCCGCAACTTCCAACAATATTGTTATACGCTACCATCAATATTGTCTGTCGCTATTGACATTTACCATCGTAAATTGAAACTTTAAAATTATTTTTTTACTTTTCATCTTCATATTTTTGTTAATAAAATCGACGACGTTTAGAGTAAATGGACCTAAATGTTTTACTTTTGTAATTATAGAAATATCAATATAACTTCTTAAAGTATATGGACCAAGATATTAAAGTTGACTAATTATATAAGATAATATGTAATTAGTCACTTTTTGGAGTTTTGATTGATTAGTTCTTCTAATGGTTTATATATATATAAGTTTAGTATCTCTATAGAAATCCGGAAAATAAGATAACGTGAAAAAAAGGTTGTGCGCCCTTTGTTTAATTGATGAGTAGTAGATAGTGGACGTGTGGAAGGCACAATAGAGTTTAGACCGTTATTAGGGTCGTTGTTTTTGTCCACCGCACGTGTTCCAATTTGATTGTCACCCTTTCAGAATGTTGACATGGCTGACCACTATTTTGTTTTTCACCGAGGAGTAGTGGACTCCTTCTAGGCTGAATAATTATGCAAAAAAATATATCTTGTGAGATCAAAAATAAAAAAATATATGATAGTAACATCATTTAATGTTTAACGAAGAGATCAAGAAAGTGTGCTCAGTTCGGAGAGTTCAGAGTGTTTGAACGATTGAAAAATATATTTTTTTTATTGCTATGCTAATTAGATATGCTTAGATAGTGTCACATTATCATATGATTGAGCTTAGGTGGTTTTATATCATCATCTAATTGATTAGACTCATATGATCGATTGGATTGCATATATTAGACCTTGGTTGATCGCTCATGATTTGATTAGATTCTATATATTGAATTTTTATCGATGATCAAATCAAGTGATATCATTTATTATATATTGTGCTTGGGATAATGTCAAACTCAGGGATAAGAACTACGTATATTAGAATATCAAAAAATGATTATATAATATCTCTATGGTTATTTTGCATAGGGCACGTGAGATAGAGAGACACACGAGGTCATTAGAGTATGTTAACTTAAATAATCTCGTGTAAAAAAATATCAGACATAGAAACATATAAGGGCATAGGAGTATATCGATTGGATTACACATTTGGACCTTGGTTGATCGCTCATGATTTGATTAGATTCTATATATTAAATTTTTATCGATGGTCAAATCAAGTGATATCATTTATTATATATTGTGCTTGGGATAATGTCAAACTCAGGGATAATAACTACCTATATCAGAATATCAAAAAAATGGTTATATAATATTTCTATGGTTATTTTGCATAGGGCACATGGGATATGGGATAGAGAGACACATGAGGTCATTAGAGTATGTGCTTTACTTCAATTGTTCATACTTAAGGGCATTAAGATGTGCTTGACTTTAACTACCTAAGTGTTAGAATATACCTACTTGAAAGATGGATACAGGATAGATAAGATGCGAGAGACCGATGAAACTATTACGACCCAATGAAAGTATCGGAGCATTAGATATAGAAGACTTGCAAGTACTTGAAAGAGCATAAGACATCTCCCATTCAAATATATATTTTTTTTGTTGGAACTGTTGTGTCCTAAATAATTTTTTTTTTTTTTTTGGCTTTTCAGAGAACATATGGACTGACAACAAATCTTTTTTACGTCCTCCACCAAGTATCATCAGGTGCTGGTTGCAATATGCATTATTCTATCCTTCAAGCTCCTGAACACCATAACTTTATTGCTTTATCATCTTTGAATGTTAACGATTTATACGGTTCATCATGGAAAAATAATGATTGTACTACATTGACCTGCTGAATGAAATGTTGCTGAATGTGTTCGGTGCATCATGGATTTGCAGGTGTTGCTGAATTTATTCAATCTAAAAGAACCGAGAAACATTGGCGCTCATGCAAAGGACAACTCTACATTGACATGCTGACTGAAATCAGTATAATGAAATGCCCTCAAATACCAGAGCAATTAACATTTTAGTAGTAGAATTACCCTTCCAATTATTGGAAGGAACACAAAGGCATGTCGGGCAGTTTAATGGTTAAACACAGACTTTGTTGTTTAATGCTCGCGGTGTTGATAGGGACTGGAGCTGTGTAACTATTGCTCGATGGCCATTCTCGTTGACAAAGACAAAGCAGGAATACCGTCAGGGGGGCGGAAGTAACATTACGCTTCACCCCCTGGTAGAAACTACCAGTCAGCAATCATCATACAAAAGGGGAATCTGTGGAGAACCATGACAAAATACAGGTTTGTACTTCATATCTGCCTTAGTATTCTTACAAGAGAAATGTGTCAGAAAGGAAATGAATGCGCACCACTGTGGTCATCTCGTAGGCTATACGACCTCTTGGGTCATCGTTTCTTCATTGCTCTTAAGACTTTTTTACCACCCGGTTTAAGAGTTCTATATTCTGCAGAACCCGAATCTTGCCTCATCGCTAGAAGAAGCTATAGTGGTCAAATAATAAAGATGATTTCTTTGAGTGGGCACAGAAAATAGGACTTGATAACAGCAGAAGATTTCAAGTTTCTCACCTTTTTTTCAAACTTGAATTTCCTTTGACTTGCTAAAGAAGATCAAACTTGCGGCTATAGCACCATCATAAACACAAAAAGGTTGCAGGTCAGAATGGATGCTGCAGCCACTTTTAATGGGTCATAGAAGCAATATATAATGAAACTCTGAAACCATCACATGGATATAATATTTTTCTGCTAGGCTACTGAAGGAATTGACAAATGATCATTCTTACCACACGTATAGGTAGCTGATTTGTCAGATGGCTAGGCTAGAATTCATGGATGTGGCCCTCCAAGTGCTTGGACAATTTCCTCTGCTCTTGATTGTATGCCTCTAAGATACTCAACAAGAACACGCTGTTGGTAAGAACCCCCCTCCTACAGGTAAAAAAAAAGAGAGGAAATGATGCAAACACTCAAAAAAGTGTCAGTGATCAAATGCAAAAGATCCAGATCTTACTGTACGTATTAAGACCCGCTCAATACGTTTCTTTATAACAGCATAAAAATCTTCAGGTGCAACTTCTCCTTTTCCAATATTAAGTCCTTCGATCAATAGCCTATTCCAATGGTCCTCTGGAGCTGCATTTAGATACAATTACACAATAATAGGACGTGTCAATTTACTATAAGTTGTCTGAAGTTGCTGCAAATTTCATATAAAAGATGATACAAAGAGTGCTGGAACTCTTCTGGCATTCTCTCTACAGAGACCAGGGGATGCAAATTTCATATGCCCATTACACAATAATTTAGATGGGGATTCACCCTTCAGTTACTTCTATTGGCATAGAGACCAGGGACCAGTGACTTCCATGGTACCAATGTGAGCATGAGCTACTCCTACTGGCCAGCTCTCTACAGGTTTTCCATATTTTCCACCAAACGAAAAAAGAGAAAAACCAAATGACTTTTAGATTCCCATATCAGCATACTGGTACACAGGGGTCTTAATGGTAGTGATTCTTGGGAGTCATAAGCACAGCATTACAAGACAAATCATAACACATTAAGATTTGTTTAGTATTTCAAAGTCTCAGAGGATTGCACATGATCTTGGTAAAAATTGAACACATGATATCAGGAACCCTGAGAACTTTGCCATTTGTGTGCATATATTTTTGTCGCTACAGACTGCTTGGTGCTTCATTTTCTGCTTGTGTGCATATACTTGTCGCTACAGACTGATATCAGGAACCCTGAGAACCCTGATATCTTGGTAAAAATCATTTCTAGTTACAGTTGCATCCTACAGTGATAATAACTGCTGGACTTCTGGCTCACTGTATAATGTCAAAATACCTCTAATGCATCCAGCATGCTCATTTATTTGAAATGATTTCATGTGAACTACAAATGATCTTTCAGATACAAAGTTTTTCCTCAATGCCATTATACTAACATGCTTTTATTTGGTGCACGATCAATTGGTTTCGTATATGTGATGCTCCTTAAACTAAAGCCTCATTGACAGTCTTTTGACTAGGTGGAGCTTTCAAGCACTCACTAAAACAGACATTATAACATCTACTCTCCCACAAGGTTATAAGTTCAACTCAATGGGTACATATTTATGTTTGTACACGCGCACATACAAACATAAGTAAACAGCGGCAGAAAGATACAATATATATGCCAACTATGGTTTTATCGACAACAAGGGCATATCAACATTTATTGTGTAGGACAGTATGCCAAATATAAGGTACCTTCTATGACAGTTTCAAGAAACTTTTCTCCTGCCAAAACTTTGCCCCCTGTAGAAAACATACAATTTGAGAACCTCACATAATTATTGCATCTTAAAATAATCCAGAATTTAATACAAGCACAAGACATTAATCGAAATAGCATATATGCTGATACAAAATTTTCTACATTCTGGCAAGAAAGATATTGCAAATTCCTAAAGATCGAATATGTCAGCAATAATAATATAAGTCTCCTACTTATCAGACCTGTCTTTGTGAGCATCACAAACATTATGATGGAACAGTTAAAAATAATTAGTACTCCAAGCATAGTTTTCATCAAGCTGGTAAAGAAATCATCCTATGATGAAGAAAAACTGGTACATCTCTATGTTATAATAAAATTTTATCATATCAAAGAGATTCGACAGATAAAAGGATAAATATCGCTCATGTGAACAACGTCAAAAGCTTCTGGCACATCAAACTCATGATCAATCGTCTCCAAAGAGAAGACAGTAATATGCTTCAAAAAAGGAGAATGATAGCATGACAAGAATTGATTCCAATTCATGCTCTTTTTTTCACAACTTTTCCTGGGTGTACATACATACAGACAGAATCCTTTCCAATTTCAAGTATAAATCTTACTCATCCTAATGAATCAACTAAATCCCAAGATTAGTACTAAATATTGAAATAAGAAAGTTAGAATAAAAATAAAGTTAGGCACTTGAGCCTTTTGAGTTATGACAAAGCATAACTGCATAAGGACCATGAGAAAAGAATTTAGCTCCTGTTTATGCACAACCAGCCTAATGAAAGCTGAAGTAATTTGAGGCATAAGGCTTCCTATACAAAATACCTAACATAACTTTAACTAGCATGCCTCTCCCTATTTAATTATTCTCAAGAAGCTAGTAACCAAAGCTAATGCGCACAATACTTGTACCTCAAAGAGAATCATCTAGAAATGGGAGCAAGAAACAGATACTACCCTCAACAATACTGCAAAATAATGAAGGCTGTTACCTTTGTATACATAGCTACGTTTTCTAAGTACTTTGGAAGCATATATTTGCAAAACCTTTTGCAGCATAGCCTCAAGCCCTGGCTTATCTCCATCTTCTTTTGCCTGCAAGCACAAAATCCATACCTCTCATTGTAGAAAGCATAGCATATGCATGCAAGACTCAAGAAATTAGAGTCAAATTAAAAAACACTTGAATTTGGGATTTGGATCAAGTGCAATCATATCCATTAGTTCATAATTAAAATCAGCCTAACATGGGCTGGCACCAATCATGACCCAACGCTGGCTGCCTGCACTGTGGTGATGAGGCCAGCACTAGCCATGAGCATGTGTTGGAACTAAGTCCATACTTATCTTGTATAAAGCTGCATGGAACTTGACAGTTATGAGCAGTGCATGAAGTCCCCATGAGCAGGATATAGCACAGCAGGCACATGATGTGACTGGCCCATGCCAGTAATATGTGTAACATGGCAAGACAATTTTTAATATTAATTTTTATTTTACTGATTCAATAAAAGCATAAATCTTGGATTTATTTAGACAAAAAATCAACAATTAAAACATATTGATGTATACCAGTAACCAAAGGATAACATCAATAAATAGAAATCACCAAAAATACTAACCTGACGTAATTGGGCATTAACCTCTGAGAGAAATCCTTCATCCAGTTGTCCTTCTTGTTCTCTCTTCTCTAGTTCCTGATAAATATTTACAAGGAAACCTTCAACAATTGCATTATTTCATGACAAGAGTAACATTCTTAATAACAATGCTTTTTTTTTGGTTCGTCATTTTCTATCAGTGAATGGAAATTTAGAATCTTAGATAATATTACAGAAAATAATTGGCTTAGGAAATCAATATGAATAGTAGCTTAGCAATTATGCATTAACAGATTAACCTATTACTAAACAATATATAGAATGGTCACTGGCAGTACCTAACAAATTGCACCATATTAACCATGGATGATCAGACCAATTAACAAATTTCACCACAAGTTCACCTGGGAATTTATTCATGCTCGTCTTAACTTACAATATCACGTCTTGCAAATAAGACACAACAATACAATTTACCTACCAAATGTTGTTCAATAAAAAAAATAAGATAATATCATAAGACTAACACTGGTCGAAATCAATAATCAATATATTTTTATGATTTCCGTAACTCCTTATGCATTTTGATAATTCTCACTGATACATAGTGAACATTGTTGAATTCTTCATCCCACAATCCATATTATTTTATTGTTCGTTCATCCTGGTACCTAAGTCACCATTAGTCATCTTGCCAAAGATGTGAGAATATAGAAAATGTTTATGTAACAATCTTAACTGAAATTATCAAAGTAAGATTTGAAGAGAACACCAGAATAGTGAAAGTGAGCAGAAAAAAGTAGTAGGATAATGACAATAGTAACAATTTGAATCATCATGAACATATAAAACATGAAAATTTACTCGAGACTACCTATACAAGATGGCTGCAACTAAAACTAGTCCAAGAACCCACTTAAGCCTATAGGCCTAGCATAGCAACTACTAATGTCATGATAATCCAATATACATGCAACTCATTGGCAACAGTGCTGATATTGTTGGGCTGTGGATGGCAAAATAATCCAAAGTTCCCTTGGAAGTTTCCAAACACTGCCAATGTCGGTCCTAAGCCAAGATGAAAAAGATGGAGGGTTGCGTTAGGTCGTTGACAACCAATGTAAAACTATGTCAGATATCATGAACATGGACATTAACCAGTTTTAGTATTTCAGTATATCTCAATGGCGGCATAAGATCCATGTAGCCGACCCCAGTAGTTGGGGCTCACGGCTTTATTGTTGTTGTTGTCCCCTGTAAGTTTCCAAATGCATTTATGAAAAAAGCATGAAAACTAGTAGAAGTAATTTTTTAAAATTTAAAGCACAAAGTAAGTGCGCAACATCAAGCTCTCAAGATGATGAGAATGACAAGCTATGCTTCTCTGACTAAAAGGGGTAGATAAATTAAAAACTTATTGCAGTTCCTGGAGAAAGATTTAGTCAAAATATTAATTTCTCATGCAAGATACCCCAATTTTATATAAATTAGTCGTACAAAATCATATTATTACCAAAATGACCAAAGGAGCACAAGTATCAAATCCACATGCACAACTACACATAAGGAAAGACAATTTAATTTCTAGATATTTTCTTAGTGCACATATAACAAACAGTATTTGCAACAAATCAGGAAAATCTCCATGTATAGAAAATAATATATTACGCGAAGGAGCTAATAAGGGAACTTGAGAAAATGGGATAACATTTTGAGATTAAGAAAATCAAATATTTGTATAGTAGTTTTAAGTTTCAATTTACTTTCTCCATCAGAGTAAGAGCCTCAGGATTTCTCGGTGGCCACGATATCTCTTCAACATCATCCACTACAGGATTCAAAATTGCCTTAAGAACATCAGTTGCAGATTCTATCCTTTCCTGCAATGCAAAAAAGGTTCTGATATTGAATTTTCCCCTTGACGGAAATAGGGTTGGAGATTGTGATGTTTTCTTGATATAAGAACAATAAGGTCGAAAACTTCAAATAAATTGTTAGATACATTACTTGCTTGATACAAAGTGAACTACAATTCTAACATCACAAAGATATGATTTTTGCAAAAGTATTCATTGGTTGATGGTCAAATGCCTTGCCACTGAGTAGAGCACCCAGCTGGACTGTTAGCCTACTACAGTTAATGATAGACCTTCATTTGATCTCAACCACATTTTTGTATATTAGAGGAACATGTCAAGTTAAAGATTAAACTTAAACTGCTTTCAGTCACTCGGACATTTCAGTCATTGCTTGTAAATGTGCTTACAAGTGAACAAAGACTCAACTCCATAAGAAAAATATAACTTCATACTACTTCATAGTTTTTTTGTTTACTGTGGCTTGTCAACACAAGATACAAAAAAACAAGCTGACAGAAAGCACTCTAATGTTTTTTCAGCAAACACTTACATTTGTTTTATGGACTAGGCGGTCAACTATGCTCATTACAGATGCAGCTAATTCTTCATAATCCTTCTGTAAAAGCAATCAATGGTGAATTAAGCAGTTCTTAGCATATTAATTCCACAAAGCCACAGGAAACACATTTGATAAGATGCTAAATGTTGTTAGAAAAAAATTGACCAAGTAGAGAACCATGCTTTGTCATCATCTGATTTGCAAGTATCTGTTCTAGCAGCAAGGCGGATCCAAAAATCCTCGTTAAACGCGAGAACATTTTCGACAACAAGTTGATCAAGCTGTTTACACATTGGAAACATTGATTAGTAGACTAAATTCAATTAAATCAATGCAAGCACCTAGAGTATCATCATCAAGTGACACGTTGCTAGTCAAATTTTATCAACATAAAACACACATACACACACACACACACAGGACACAAACAAAGAAGCAGCTTACTTGACAATATTTCCTTTAGAAAAATCACAGTTGCTAATCTAGTCAATCCGATAAGCTAATAAAAATGTACCAACATTCATTAGAAAAACTAATTGACACATTGTTTCCCTGGAGTAATTGTTCTAGAACATATGAAAGAGATAGAGCAAATTAAGGAACACTTACAACAAGGCCAGGTTCCAAGTCATATAAACAGCTTCTCTGTTTACATGGGTACAGCTACATGCATCGACTTTCCCTAGATTATATATTGACAAGAGCCTTGTACACTTGTTTATTAATTATAAAATGTCTGGCCTTTTATTTTTGCACTCTAAAGTCTAAACAACTCAACAAGTGATATGGCTGAAATTAAATACACGAGAGGGCAATTCTTTGAAGTTTTTACCTTCAACAAGAAGAATACATGTAAAGCATGTACCAAAGTATGAACTCATCCGGCTGATCCAAGCAGAAAGATTTCATTATAACCTACTTATGATATTTTTTGAAAATTGGAGTTGTCGACTATCTAGTAGAATAGTTGCAATATCCCATAAAAACCAAGATGGTTAAATTTTTTCAGACATCTATGTTCATCATCATAAGATGAAGTCTATATATGTTGCATCAACATAATTGACTTACTTCCCTAGCATTTGCAACTTTCAACATATCAATAAGACGGTCTACTTCTACGGTCTTCTTAAAAGATTTTTCAGCATCTTGATTGACTGCACATATTGCTGTCCTCCTGTCCAATAAATTGAATTAATTCATATAAGTTAGTTAGAAATGCTGTGCATATACATACAAGAAAGTAATGACAGAATTTGAACATTTTAGCATCTGCTATGAAGTGAATCAGAATGAGGGTGGTCTCCATGAAACAATTCATCTTAAGTGATCCCACATTTAAGGGGCAAATAGCTTTTAGGACTTGGAGAAATTATCAAAACAATATATGAGCAGAGTAAGGTTAAATAGGATCTGGTAGGCGACAGGGAGGAGGAGAGTCACTGAGATGCCTAGGTTTCTTGGGAGCCTGGGCACCTAGGCAAGCGCCCGAGCACCCAGTGATAACACTGAACCAATATGCTCATTCACATAACCAATCGATGCATAAAAAGTTAGAAATCATGTTTCTGACAAATTAGTAATGATTATGGCACTTCACAATTCCAAAAGTAACCAGCCATCAAAAAGACATCCTTTGGTACCTCTTAGATCACAGTGATGTGCAATAAGGGTCTAGCACAATAGAAATTGTTAACTAGTTCGTAACTTAAACTTCCTTGCATATGAAAACAGGAATCACAATTGACTATTGATCTATTATGTTGAGCTAAATAGAACTCATATCAAAAAGTTGTATTACAACAATTACATCAAAATAACATTCACAAAGAAATATCCTATTAGTTATTCATAGAAAAGACATCAAGGAGAATGTCACAGGGAATTCAGTTTTAACATGGTCTATCATACAAATCTCTGAAAGATACATGCATTGCTAATCTTTGTTCCTGCTGTACCAGAGAACGAGAGAGATTGTGTTATGAAACTTACAAGCTGCAAATTTGTAACATTAAATTTTCTCTTAACTTCATATGATCTGCTTCCTCCATCATAATCATTAAAACTACAGAATCAAGATTTTGATCCATTTCCTTCCTTTTTCACGAGCTTAAATAGAACACTTGTCTACCACTTTTGAGTTGAATTGTTAACTGTTAATAATTGCATGAATCATCTGAATCTATTCCATTTTTTTTTCGAATTTTATTTATATCAACGTTATCTAAGCATAGGAGAATAGTAAATTCAGACCACTGCCAATTTTGAGGTAAACATTGACCAAAATCCAACATAACCCCAAAGCATTACCATGGAAGGTACCAAGAAACAAATCAAGAATTGCAAATGCCAGATGACTTAGATCAAGAATTGCAGAAGAAAGAACGCAAGAGTCATGAATCGCAACATCGACATAGATTACAGTGAACCGAACCTGGTGCCGCAATTCTTTGGAAAGAAAAGAGAACATGCCATTCCGATACCCTCTTTCGGACCCCTTATACTTCCCCACCGTCGACAGCACAAGCTCTGTACCAAAGCACTACCATGCATGAGATTAAGCACGCTATCCCGGCAAGACTAACACTCCAATGCGATCCCTTAAAGTCGAATTCCAACCCTACACATTAAGAGGTACAAGAAGAGGGAAGAGCCGACCGCACCTTGGGAAGAGAAGATGATCGGAGTGGAGTAGAGATCAGAGAAGCTGCTGCCACCGTCGCCATTCGCGAAGCAAATGGAAGGCAACAAATGATTTGCCGATTTGATCGCTCGAACTCCCCCCTTTCGCAGTCGCGCCTCAGGCGGGAGACGCGAACCTCACGAACAACAACCGGATAAGGAACCCAGCGATCTCCTAACGGCCTTTCCTCGGGCTTATATTTGGGCCTCAAGAGCAAGGCTTTCGGCCCACTAAAAGAATGGGCTAAATATCACCCGATTTCTTCAGCTTATAACTGGGCCTAAAGAGCGCTTTCAGGCCCATCAATATATATATATATATATATATATATATATATATATAATTTATTCCTTTAATTCAAGCTTAAAATTAGGAAAGGAAGAAGAGGAAAGGATGGAATGCCTGCTTCCATTGAAGCTGCTTTGATCGATGAACATGTAATTGCAGATTCCGAGCAAGCAGACGCACGCATGCATGGAGCAGCTTACGTTTCTTCCTCCTTCGGACCAGTAAAACCAAGGACAATAAAAGTTGTCTGATCGACACAGCACAGCGGCAGGGAGGACGATTGCATGGCCCGCCATCACACGGCGTCCCCATCGATCGACGTCAAGAGCAAGCCTTGTGTCATCTGTTCGCCCACCATACAGACGTAGGTGTTGTCGCTTCACTTGGACCAACTTCTGTGGTGAGAACATTTTCTCTCCATCTTCCAGTTATTTGGTCTGTGATATCAGCATTAAATTACTGCATGATTCCTTTCCTAAAGAGACTCAGCTGTACAGGCAGAAGTACAATAGAAAAAGACTAGAGCGCAGAAAACTGCAGAAGGATACTTCTAACAGTAGCTACTGACAGAATTCATCCTGCCTTGGCAGATCCTGAAAAGAGGCAGGTCTTCCTTGATCCTGCAACTCACCAGAAGAAACTGCAGTTAATATGTCCAAACCATCAAGATTAGACTGAAGAATTATGAGAGATAATTAAGGTGAGGAGGATCACAGCTGTAAGAGCATCAAGTTCTAAGATCCTACTGAAGAAACATGCACTTCTTTAACTAGGTAGTATTGCAATTTCTTTGAACAGTCCATGGGTTTTGCTGCATGTCTTCAGAGTCCACCACATATGAGGTTTCGGAGATCAACCAAATGCTTAGATGACAACATTTTTCGCTGGTTCTTGCATCTACTGACTCCACAATTCAGAGGCAATTTGGAATAGAAACTTTGAACCCCTCATCATGATGTTTTAAGAGCAAAAATTGCATCCTTTATCGAAAGAAAGCATCACAGATTCCAAACATGTTCTAAAGTAGAAGAAAATGTATCATAAGGAGATCAGTTGTATATATAGGTGCATAATCTACATGCATATATGTCATTGTATCAGGGAACAACATTAACATGCTTGTCAATGAGGCCATGATCTATCAGTTGGTTTCACTCTCTCTTGAAGAGATTTTAAGTCTGGATTTGGAAAATTATTTGAAAGATGATAAACATTAACAATTCAAAGAGAAATGATAACAAATGTGAGAGAAAATAAAGAGACACATAAAGTCTTAGTTTTGTTTTGTCATCACCATCCTCTGAAACTCTCTCACATCTCACAAGCCATAAGCCATATATATAAAGACTAACCTCTAAACAAAGTCAATTTCATAACACTCCACCACAAGGCAAAACCATTCAAGAAGTAAATACAAAGATAATGACACACTATTTTACAATTAATCTCGGAGGAGTAATAATAAATACTTTACTTAAACTTGAGAGTTCCAAATAGCAGTGACAAGAATCTTTGACATGATTAGAAGAGCAAAGCAAAGTCGAGAATTCATTCTTTCTGTTACAGTATAGTCATCTTCAAGCAACAAAACCGAAGCAAATACCCAATATTATGCAATGCAATATGGAGGTATGCAAGATGAACTGTCAATTTAAACTGGGATTAGTCTGTGGTAGCTACAAAGAACATATGAATCTACATTAGGTGTATGTATTTAGGATGAGTATATGCATTCCATGTTACTAACCATTTTATGCTAAGTGCAATGTATTAGGCTTTTACCCCAAAAGCTCTTAATCACTGAATTACTTGTTATGATCCTAATTTTGCATCTTATGCAATTTTCAGAATTTCCTCACTCAAATTCATGAATGATTGCTACACCCTTTTCAATCATGGAACAATGTTCTTGGTAGGGAAAACATTAGTACTGATGATTGCTATGAATTTGCAATTTGTTGTCATAAGTTTTCCTAATAGAATTTGCATTTGTATTTAAGTTATAAGTTCACTAGTCTTAGGTTGGATTCATATTCTTTTACTTCTGAAATAGATCTATGATGCTTCTAATGGAATTTTAGGAAAGATTTTAAAGAAAAAAAATCCAATATCATGTCAATTATAATCTCTTTTTTTTTAATGAGATTTAGGCTTCCTTGGCTTTATAAAATCTAAAAAAAAGCATTAAAAAAATTTCAATTTTCAAAAGAGTGTAGGAAAAATATGGCATCATCATAAACTACTTAATTGAGGGTTATCAAATGAAAAATCTTATATCCAAAACCTCAAATTAATAGATTAATATCATAGGGTTTGCTTTCATGCTGTATGGAAGCTGGTCACTTGAAACAAATTTTGAAGGCATCATCATGAAATTTGATACATGAAGTAGAATAAGATGTAAACTTGACTGATTAATTTCTTTAGAGAGAGATATCAATGAAAATGATTGAACAATTAACATTATCAAGGAACCTAACTCATTCTTAAACTCCCAATCCTGTCAATTTCAGAACTACTGTAAATTTGCCACATATTTACTGATGGGGTTTCTTCTATGGGCTACTCTTTAGAATTAGTATAACAAATATGGGAGTTAAAGGAAGGCTAAACCCTTATTTAAGATGCTTATAAACAATCATAAATAGACGTGATGGAAGAACATAGGAAATTATTGAGAGTAATAAACATGCATGTAAGAGATTAGCTTAGGAGTAGAGAGGAGAAAAGAAAGGGAAAAGCTACACCAATTACAGCATCGGCATGTTTTGCAACAGTAGCCTGTAAGAGAATATTCTAACCAAGAGGGAGAAATCAGAAAGAAACAGCGACCTCGGAAGGGAAATCCAATAGTTCCATCGCTGGCCCATAAACAGGTACTACAAGCACATAATTAATACCATCTACTAACTTGAGCCACAGGCGTATGTCTCTTCTCTCTCCAAAAAGTTTGGAATCAGTCCGGCCTTAGAGATGCAGCAAACAGGTCATGAGAGCAATGCACAAGTGAGAAGAAGGTGAAGGAAAGCTTACTTTCTTGAAGCTTCTTGGAACTGCATGCATGGCTGCTGGATTGAACTCAAAACGAGTTGTACCTTCCTTGATTCAATGGTCTGCTGCAGAGTGGCAGCAGCTGCTCGCATGTCCATGTCGAACACTTGAGCGGATCAGGCAAATCCCATAAAAACCGCCATTTTTTCTGGGGAAAACTATAGACACAGCACCCAAAACGTCAAAGAGCAAAAGAAGAAGCTGATGAGGAAGGAGTTGAAAGAGTGTCCATACGGATTTGGCTTTATTAAATCGATTGAACTTGAAGTTATTCGAAAGTTTACGCAATTGCCAATAGATGAGGAGGATTGCGCATGGTACAAGACACTTAATCCCAGACGAGGCACATTAAGTAACAAGGAAATCATTAAAGATCATGCAGAGGTCTCATCTTTTTTGTAGGGTTCCGCTACGGCCTGTGTTGGTGGGGGAAGAATTGAGTGCCCGCCATGAAGGCGCTCAGCGGGGTCGCGTATGGGTCGAGCAGTTCAGTGGCTCCAGCCGTGGTAGTAATGACCGGGTGCCCGGCAGTAATAACAGCAGCAGCGACGGCCGCAGGAGAGGAAGAGCCTTCGCCATGGTTGAGCTGATAACGAGATGACGACGGGGATGGGTACTCGGTGTCGGCGCCGTGATCATACAGTATGCCCCTGAACACATGCCCGCCGATGCTCACGGCGGTTTGGTACGCGTACTCGTCGTCCGCTTCGTCCACGGGGCTCACGCGCACGCACCGGAACACGGCCTCCGCGCTCACTTCCGGGGGTAAGCTGTCGGAGTCGAGACTTCCTCCTGTCATATTGAGTCAAGTAAATAGCTTATTCCTCCGTCTCGAGTTCTATGAAGAAGGAAAGAGAACGTCGAACGTGTGGTGTTTGATGGGTGCAGCAGAAGGAATGGATCACGCAAAGGATTCTGCGAACAGTGGAGCAGATAACAACAACAGCGTTTGGGACTGCGTAGGAGTGGTAGGAAAATGTAGTACCATACGTGGTGGTGGTTGCCATGGCAGTTGGTAGTCCGGCGAAGGCCATGATCTCCCTCGGCCTCTTGGAAGCATCGCCACCGCCACCGCTGCCGCCACTTACCTCGCCCGCAGCTCGGCCCTCCCCGCGATGGCTGTGGTCGTGCTGCACCAAGCCGCCGAGTTGCTGCTGGCGCTCGCGGCGCTTGGCGGCGGGGACCCAGGTGCTCTTGACGTGGGTGGGGCACTGGAAGCCGCGGCTCTTGCAGCAGGTCCGGCACCTCAGGTGTGCGCAATCCTTCTTGGCCTGGTTGCCGCAGTCCTGGCAACTCACCCCGCCGCTGCCACCGCCCGGGCTTCCTCGCATCGGCCTCCCCGCAAGCGACGGCAGATCATCAGGGAGGCCGGCGGAGGAATACAACTGGTCCCCCCGCTGGATCTGGTGCTGCTGCCACAGCTCGAAGCCTCGGGTGTAAGCGACGTCCTCGCTCCTGCTTCCGCGACCGCCGTAAAGGAAGAAGCTCTCCGAAGGAGGGATCACCCCTTGCTGATCTCCGCGATGTTGCTGGCTGCCACCGCCACCTCCGAGAAGGAATTCCGCCATATCTACTCCTCCACTCGATTAGTTACACCCGATCCATGACATCTCATCTCCTCTTGCTTGCAATCTTGGGGGAAGCGTGACAGCGATTATAGGAGGGAGGAAAAAAGGCGCAAGAATGGTTACTGGCAGCGCTGCTGCACTCTTTCTTCTTCTTAGGCCGCTGCTTTTTGGTCACTGCAGGCGCAAAGACGTAGCAGCCGAAGCAGGAAGGGGAGCAGTCGATGATGCCGTCTTCTTCTTCTTCTTCTTCTTCTCTCTCTCTCTCTCTCTCTCTCTCGCTTCTCTTCTTCGAGTCTTCCGTTTCTTGAATTACGAAATGAAACAATAGTTTAAGGGGACGGATCGCAGCCGGTGCTGCAACGCCGCCATGGAGACGGCTGTGCTGTGCCCTCCTCGATTCCTCATTTACTGCTCGCCACCTTCTCTTCTATTTCCAGCTTCCTCCACTTTCCCCAATCCCCATACCCTTCTCTCTCTCTCTCTCTCTCTCTCTCTCTCTCTCTCTCTCCGCTTGTGATAATTACTGCTCTTAAACATTAGAAACTCTCTAAAGTCTCACGCGTCTCATTATTTAGAAGGGAAGAAAACAACGGGTAACCAACGCACACAAAAACAGGAATTCTCATCATTCTATCTATGGACGGCCTTAAATTAGCCACGTGGCAGAGATCGCGACGTTGGCTCGTGGTTTTTCATTTTGACCTTCAACCCCGCTGCCCTTGCGTGACAGCTCGTCCTCACTTTTACCGTCGTCCCGCCCTGCCTCCTCCGATCCCCCCTGTTCACGGAGGAGAAAGAGAAGCAGAGTCTCCAGTTACTTGGCCAGCCACGCATCTGCAAATCTAGCGTTGTATGCATGCCGAATCCCAGTTGACAGATTGGATATGGTAGTTGGTGGACGAAGGCATCTCCTGCAGGCTTCAACTTGTTTTAGTAGCTTCAATCCAGTGAACAAGGCACAGATCGTTGCGTCCGCAAGATGACTTCATCCCAAACGAAAAGCAGGTGGATAACACCATCATCATGCTTAAATCTCATCATGAAATATCATGGCAAGGAGAAGTCATGCTACTGACCATTTCTAGCTCGATCCCCACAGGTTATTTACATTAAAGGGCCGATCAACCTTGAAGAAGATGTTGATATGAAGGAAGAGATGAGCAGCGTCTGTTATATGTTAATCTGACATGGAGGCATGTGGAGATTTGTCAGCAACTTCAAGGACAGCGTATGGCTTGAAGAAGACAAGTCGGCTGAGGAATGAATGGTCCTGTGACAGCTGTGCATGGAGGGACGAGCTACTTCGTTCCTGGATTATGAATGCCACCTTGCCCCTACCAGACTACACTCACTCTTCCGTGGACGACTTGTTGCTCTCACCACCACCTCCTCTGGCTTGCAGACACCCTGTGTCTCGAGAGCCACTGTGTTCGCTTACCTCTACCGTCGAGTATCGATCATCACGAAGATCGGCTCGCATTAATCATGTCTCAGTTCTCACGTCGTCGATGCTGATACGACGGAACTGTATCGTTCATTTAGAACGGTACTCAACACCCAAGCGGAGCCACCTTACGAATGATACGTTGCTACTCAATAATTGTGTACTCGTCTTCTCTCTCTCTCTCGTCCTCGAGCCATGTGCTTCCTCCCCCCTGTTTCAACCTTTTCTCTCCCTCTCTCTCTCTCTCTCTCTCTCTCTCTCTCTGTCTGTCGTCTCTGTGTCACATGTTGGCCGGAGAAGAATAGAGAAGAAGAGGGGATTCGGAGGACGCAGATCCCTATATCTAACGAACAGTATATTGGGATCATGAGCAGGAAGAACCTGTGAGCAGGAGAGCCGCGGCTTTGAAAGGCGTGCGTGGTAACGAAGGGTGCTCAAGAGGAGGAAAAGTTCGCTGTCGAACATTAATTATACGTGGCTACGTCGCATGTGAAGCCCATTACATGGTGGCAAAGTGGTGCAGCAACCTGGACGCGAGTTTTCACACAACCAACGGGTCGGATTTGGCTAGGATCCGACATCCGATACCCGTACCCGATCATGCACGAAATGTCTTATCAACAGCATGCGTCACCCGTTCAGGTGATAGCTGTAATCTGCATCGCTATTCGATGTATCGAACCACTTTACCTGAAAATAACAGCTGTTGTCCTGTTTTCTCGCTTGCTATCAATAGTTTACAGTAGGAGTGACTGTATCAAATTAGATCCGTGTCGTCATGAAAGATATGATTTTGATATATAGTCAACGCAATAATTACAAAATATGCGACTTCAGAGTATTTTCCAACCTCTCTCTCTCTCTCTCTCTCTCTCTCTCTTAATTGCGTCGATGTCTCTCGTAATTCACAAATAACAACAATATATATATGAGATAATTGTCATGGATTCCTTCCCTTGTGGAGTAGAGGGGGTGTGCATGCACCTTTCCCATGCCATTAACAAGACAACAATGCAATATAATAGTCTCGATATATAAAAGACCGCAATACGTAGCATAATAGATAGATAGATAGATAGATAGATAGATGGCATTTGGACCCCCACCATCACATGTAGTAAGTATACTTTCTCCTTTCTACGTGACAGTAGTCGCCATAATTATATTCATCCATGGATTATATTCTCTAATCTTGTTGGGCACTCATCAGATCTTCCTTGTCTCCACTGGATCCGCCTTGTCTCCTTCTAACCCAGCATGACATAAATACTCCCATGGACTTGGTGCATGTTGAAATCACTGCATCGCTCCGAGCAAGATTCTAAACTTAAGAGCTGAACATTTATAATTGATCCCTGTGATGAAGACTAGTTGAATCTTACGTCGCTTACAATAGTAATTGCGATGCTAAGAAACAATGAAAGAAAAAGTTCTTGTCGAATAAGATGATGGACTAAGCATCACTAGCATCAAATGCAAGAGAGGATGGAGGTCCAAAGGACAAAGTATTGCCTAGGTTGGAAGAGTACATGTAGGAAGGGCCTAAACAATTGGGAGGCCACAATGAACATTGAACAAGAAGGCATGTGACTCTTTATAAAGGAAGTGATGGCCACTATGCTTTATGATTCCTTCTTTCCTTAGTATTGTCCGAATTATTTGAGGCCATGGCACACCCACTTTCAGACCTAAAGATTCTGAGGCTTAGATTAGGAGTCATTTCAAATTTACCTACCTTCTTAAAAGTAAATAGGAAATGGCAGTACCCTAAGGAACCTACAAGCACAAGCACATGATTAGGTTTCTACTACATGGCCAAAGTGGCTTAGCATCTTTTCCTCTTCCTCACATCCTCTACATTCCTTGGCAACTTGGATGTTGGATCTTGTCAAGAGCTACATTGGTGGGATTTGTTGGTTGCTGTTCTGTCATTCAGTTCATATGTATTTGTCCTGTCAACCTTTTTTAGGGGACACCTTCATCAGTAATTTAAGAAAACAATAAAAAGAAAGAGAGTTTCTCAAATCAGGTTTCCAATTTTCCTAGCTTGGATTGCATTATTAGATAATTTAGACCTGGTTAGTTTAGGCTCATAAGACAGTCTAATTAGCAGATTCAAAAACCAATTAGCTTCGCCGGTGTTCATTTACATCAATTTAAGTGCCAAATGATCAAGATTAGTTTTAAAGTAGATGTTCAAATTAGATTGCAACCTAGAGATCAACATTTGAGTCATAGGTGTAATGTGAGAGAAGCTTCTGGTTACTGTGTCATTCATCCTGATCCATTCTGAACCATCGAATCCATGCACCATGCAAGACAATCTAAGTGTGTCATCCACTCCATTGCAACAACTTAGAATTGGATCAAGCCCAGCTTGAATTGGTTCCAAATAATGACATGATATATATAAATATAAAACTCAATGAAGCTCAAGAGGCAGGAGATTCTCTCTCTCTCTCTCTCTCTCTCTCTCTCTCTCTCTCTCTCTCTCTCTCACTCTGGATATATGCAGGTGAAAAACATGGTGAAAAACAAGTCTAGCTAACAGATATCTTGTGGAATTCAAACAACCCCAATCTGAACTTCATACTGAAAAGTCGAGGTTTGATTGGAAGATATTGACTGTCAGGATAAGGGTTCACATGGAAGGTGAGAGGGGACTATTTCTCTTGGAACTTGTAGAGACTTTTGAAGCTGATACTATTGGCACTGTTTCTAAACGCTGGATGTTTGGTCAAAGCCATCACGAGCGGAGAAAAGATATTAGGCAACATATGCAATGACTTGGGAGTTCCGAGCGGATTCTGTGATACATATGGAAGACCAGTCTTGAATCCCCGTATCTACTTTGCACCATAAAGCTCGAATCATCTATGTCAGCTTACTCGGTGCAAATCTACAGAAGCTAATTTAGACTTTGTGAACTTTAAACGAACAGTCTGATTTTGGCTGGCGGAAGCTTTCTCGGTCCATAGGTTTTCTGGAGAGTGGAAGCGTTGACTACTTCAGATGGGTTTTCCAAAGACTTAGGGTTTGGAAAGAACTAATTAGAAGCATGTAGAAAAGTGTTGCATTGAATCCTCTAACATCGACTCAGCCAATATCGATCATTGAAGAGTTTTTCCTTCAATCATCGTATTTGTTACATGATTTCAATTGTGTATCGAACTCGATCATCATCAGTGTCCTGCAATCCACAGACGCAGGGACCAGCAAGAGGAGCTCATCCATTACCCCATTCTCGAGGTTTTCCTCTCGAGCATTTCCCATGCCTATCTCCATCATCACCGACCTTTCAGAAGCGCCACCACTTCCTTCATCGTCGGTCGGTTATCGGGGTTGATATCGGCGCACCGCAAGGCGATAACCACCGCGTCCTGTAGCTCGTCTTGCTTGAACCTTCCGCCGAGCCGAGGATCTGCAATGCGGTCCCATGCACCGTTCGCCGCCAGGGGCGATGCCCACTGCACGATGTCGCGCATGACGCCGCCGGACAGCTTCTCGATGGGCTTCCTCGCGCTCACGATCTCGAGCAATAGGATGCCGAAGCTGTACACGTCGCAGCTCTCGGAGACCTTCCCAAGCATGGCGTACTCCGGTGCAAGGTAGCCTAGGGTTCCCTTCACCCTCGTCGTCATGTGGCTCACTCCCTCCGGTATCAGCTTCGCGAACCCGAAATCGGCCACCTTGGGGCAGAAGTCTGCGTCGAGGAGCACGTTGCTGGCCTTGATGTCCCTGTGTATGATATGAGGGCTTGCCTCGTGGTGCAAGTACCTGAGAGAAAGCATATCAGGACATGCTCACACTCATCGTAAGAAGACGAATCAGATCATATCTCAGATCCGGCTTACGCTAGTCCTTCGGCGGCTCCGATGGCGATCCGCATCCTCGTCCGCCAATCAAGCAGCACTTCGGGAGAACGACGGCCATGGAGATGGCAGTGGAGGCTGTTGTTTGGCATGTAGTCGTAGACGATCAGCCTCTCCTTTCTGCCTGCAGAGAATCCTCTAAGGCTCAAAAGATTCTCGTGCCTCACCCTTGCAAGAATCTCGACTTCGATGGCGAATTCCATCTCCGCCTTGGCTGTCATGGCTTTGAGCCGCTTCACGGCAATCTACATGACTTATTCCGCATCGGAAGTAAGCAAAAACTGGTTTCTAAGCCATGACAAATTGTGGAAGGATGGCAAGCCACTTACCTCTACTCCTTTGCTAGTTCTACCCCAGTAGACAGCACCAAAGCCGCCTTCTCCGAGCTTGTTCCCTTGGTGAAAGTTCTCCGTGGCATGGATCAGCTCCCTCAACCTATAGGTTCGCCAAGGATGGCCATGGCTCTCACTCGATCTGAAAAGAACCAGTTGGAATCAGAAAAATCTCGCCACAAAGTATAGTAATAATAGAAATATATAACAGGCGCAGTACCTCCGTGAGGCCTCCTGTTCGCCAAGTGAGAAGCAGCAAAGGCAACTCTGAAGCATCTAGCCCTTAGGAGTTCAAGAAGATGAAGCCCTTGGAATCCTAAGAAGATGAGGAGCAGAGCAAAAGCTAGGCTACACTAAGGACAGTTTCATTTGCCAGCTCAAGGCACTTCGAACTCATATAGAGAACCTTGCTTCCGTATCGTCAAACTCTTCAGTACTCTTTGTTAGTCTACATTTCTGGATCTAACGCAGCATATGATTTGTTCGACAGATTCAAAGAAAGTTTGCCGTACTCGTCTACGACGCGGTCTGACACCCTTTTAATCTTAATACTTCGTAAGGTTGTGACACAGACCATTGAACAGGTCATACATAGAATGATGCGTCCAGTTTTGTTCCAAGTCAACAGTCCAAGATCAAATATTCACGGCACAGATTTCTTCAGACTTCTCCTTCCTTGACTTTGTCGCTTCTGGGAAATCCCTAACCGTTAGTTGCTAATCGACGCACTTCTTCAAGTTTGGAGAATGGCAAGTCTAACTTTGGTGCTACAGTTGTACGCGAGTCAAAGAGTTCTTATCTAGCATTTGAGCATGTAAAATGAATGGATGCAGTTCCACTCCTGTTTGCTAGTGAAGTTTGATCTAATGACATGGGGTCCAAACTCCAAAGCCCCCCCTGTTTAGCATGTAGGCAGCCTGTTTAGTCGAGTCAGCATCGTCTGAGCCGCGTCCACCGAAGCAAACGAGGGATGAGATGGACGGTTCCAAATGAAATTGGTGGGATCAACGATTAGGATGTGAAGTATCAAACGTGTCCCGTCATGGACCCACCGTTCCTCCAGCTACTTCGTTTACCCATCCTTTGAAAGTAGCCCAAGACGTTGAATGAGGTCGCTCGATTTAGTGGGCCCGAGGACGATGCATCGAATGACCGATCGAAACGAGGCCGGTGGGTATGTCCCAAAATTAAACGTTGTCGTCGCCCTAAATTTAAAGAACCCAAGCGCCTTCCCCGTCTTTTCGGCGATCCCTCTTCTCCTTCCGGATCCCTCATCCCATGGCCACCACCTTTCCGTCTCCGCCGACGTTCCTGCCGGCGAAGATCCAGCTCCCCCGGACGATCGCCGCCACCGCGAGGGTCGCGGCGGTGCCCTCGCCGCCCGGTGACGCGAAGCGGCGCTGGTGGGCGCCGCCGTCTCGCACGGCGCCGCGGGAGGTCCCCGTCTCGGAGGAGCCGGATACGACGGCAGAGGGAGAGTCCGCGGCCGCGGCAGCGGGCAGATCGAGGCTGACGGCGGAGAAGGCGAGGGTGCTGAGGCGGGAGATGAGGGCGACGGAGAGCTGGCACGACGCCATGTACCGTTCCGCCATCGCTTCCCGACTTGCTTCCCCCGATCAGATCTAGACTCTTCGCTCCCATCCCCTCCCGTCCCTCGTCGTTCCGCCTCGTTCAGAAACCCCACGAATGGGCTTTTGGATTTTTCTCTCCTTTTACCTTTTTTTGGGTGTGTAAAAAGGATTATCGCAGGTGGGAGGGACGTAATATATGTGAATCTGCTACTACTTGTCTTCAAAATGCGTGCTAATTACCTTGAAGTTAATCTATTGGAATTGTCTGAGACAAGGCTATTTGATCTCGCAGCCGATGCTAACAAGTGTTGTTCTTGGTGATTAAGGATCATCAATATCAACATTATCTAAACTTTAATTACAGATCTGCGTGCATGTTGCTCTAATTATTAATGGATAAAGAGAGAGAGGGATTGAGTGTGAGATGACGTGGATGGAAAGCGAAAGGCGTGCCGCGTGTCGTCATATTTGAGTGGGCTGTGCTGGTTCGTGATTGAGAGGGAGGGTGACTTCAGCGTACATGCAGAGCTGGATGGCTCATCTTAATAAATGGATTAGGATGTTGTCACGGTCAGAATAAAGCTGATGATGATATATATATGTATAATATGAAGCCTCTAAGTCAATAGGCCTATCCATAAATATATGGGCCATTAAATCCATGGATCACTATATTGGCCGAGCCCACCTTACAGTACCCTCCCTCCCTTCGAATCCCCATTATACCATTTTTACGACATTTTTATTATTTTTATTTCTAATTTCCGGTTCTGTGTGCTCTCGCGAAGCATTTCGATCAGCGACGGGAACCGATCTCATCGTCCTCCTATGGCGATAGGCTCTACGCCGCCTCGACGGCGTCCTCCTCTCCGCCCCTCCCCTCCCCTCCCCGCCTTAAGCCTTCTTCCATGACGCGGTCGCCTACTCCCTCTTCGATCGCGTCTTCGCGCTTGCCCTCGCTCCCGACTGAAGCGGCCGTCGGCCGCACCGGAAGAGTCAGATCGGCACCGCCGCAAGAGCTTCTTGATGACATTGAAGATCTTGATCACGTAGATGGGCTGTACACCGATGGACTGTGCGGATAAGAGGATTGGATGAGTGGAGATGGGTTAATTTCATATTAACCTTAACCTCAAGTAGTTAGACCTTTTAGTATTCTAATTTTTAAATTTAAAAATTTATATAGTTATAAAAGTAAAATATTGAATCTTTGGAAAATATAACATGTGATAGTACATGTATAAATAAAATAAAAATAATAATAAAAAATATAATTTTAATATTTTAATTATATATTTCTTTATTATGATTTAATTGAAACTTTTTAGTCGGGCTATTGTGGTGGTGGCGAATGGTAATATTGTTGGGAGCCGTGAGTGACTATTGTGATGGTGATCGATGAGAATGACCCGATGATTGATCTTGCCAATATATGATTCGAGCATTGATGATTGAGGTGGGGATGACGATCATGATAATAGTGGAGCTTGAGGAACTTTCTATGACTTCTTATAAGGAAGGAGGAGGAAGAAGAGGGAGAACGTTGAAAGGAGTTGATGCAAAGGGAGTCGAGGAAAATGACGAGGACGATGGTCACTCTACATCGTCTTACAGTTGCATCTGTGTCGCTTTTGTATATGCATTGACAAGAGGTGAGGTAAAGACCTTGCATCCCATCGACGCAAATACAGAGTAGCGTAGCGCTAATGCTGATGCCTTACCTCCCGCCAACACAGATGTAGAATGGTGTTGGAGGAGGAAGAGGAGAGAGAGTGAGCAAGTGGAGGGTGTACCGATCGACGTCCTCCACCAGCTAGACCTCGGAATGTTCGGTTGAATGAGATTGTAGGAGCTTCGTCGGTTGTTGCTTGGATTGCGATTGGGTTGCTCGCCTATGGCTTCCAATCCATGCCAATTATGCAATTGCCTCCTTTCACTCCCATCGTAATGGGTCCATGACGATGGTGACATTATCGTCTAGTGGGGTAGTGGATTTGGGATGAAGACTCATCGTATTTGTAGCAAGGGTAGCTACAAGTAGCAAGTCGAGGTTGTCATCAGCGGCTTACTTAAGGAGGTTGGCACGATAGATAATATAAGTTATGTGAAAGTTGAGCCAATGTCAATACAATCCAAGTAAAAGATATCACTGTAATGAGAGAGGTGATGAAGCTTCTCATCATCCCCCAACTCATTGAGACACACCGCACACTCAAACGCCTCCTTCATCACCTTTAGTCCCTTAACCTCAAAGTATACCGGTATAAGGAAACTTCTTAAAGATCTCATGGTTCAGCCCCTATTACCATTGAGAGTAGGTTACGCCACCGACAATGTGACGATGTCATCATCCGTTACCACTACAATAGTTGGTATTATAAAAAAAATATAATTAAGATATTAAAATTATTATTTATTTATTATTTTCGTATGATTTGAATTTTTATTATTACGTGTTATATTTTTTATTAATAAAATTGGTAGCGATAGGATAAATATAATTAAATATATAAAAAAGGGTAAAACGGGTAACATTTAATTAGCCGAGTGAGAACGACGATGAGACCAGGAGAGTATCCTGAATCGAAAAGGGTAAACAGGGCCACAGCTTTAAGGGACACATGTTCGCCGTCGCTCGAGGGTCTCTGTCGTCCTTGCCCGCTCTCTGGTCTCCGTTCTCAGCCACAACCTCGAGAAGGCTGCCTAAAGATCTCGAGCTCGGAAAAATTCTCTCTTCCACATAAATTTGGACCAGCCCCCACCGCCACCCACCATAGAGGAACCCTAGCGGTTATCAGTCCCCTGGCGCCGTGGTGGTTGATGGATTGCCTCCACCATGGCGCTGGCCTTCTCCCTGCGCCATCACCCCCGTATCGCTTCCCCTCTCCGCCCCTCACTTCCTCGTCCCAGGCCCCGCCGGCTTCCCTTCTGTGTTGCCTGCGTGAGGCCCTTGGCTTCTCCGGCTCCGGGGCAGGGTGAGGCGGCTCGCGGCGGGTCGGCCTTGGTGTGGTTCAAGAATGATCTCCGCGTTGATGATCACCCTGGCCTCGTGGCCGCCGTGGCTAAGCACGAGACGGTCGTCCCGCTTTACGTCTTCGATCACCGGATTTTGTCCGGTCAGTTTCTGTCCCCTTTCTCTTACTTTTGCGGCTAACAAACTCGACATTTGATTCGTGGCCACCGACAAACCCGACACATCCGTCGACTGTTCTTGTTCAACCTTGTTTTTTTCCTTAGAAAAATGACGTTTTGTTGCACTTCTAATATTTTGACGTAATTAACAACTCAGTTGTTGTATGGATTGCGGCCAAGAGAATATTTTTGATGTGTAACTCAGGAATCAGATTTAGCAGGTAGGAACTGACCAAGAACAAGATACATTGGATGCATAAAACCAGATGACATTTTCTCTGACTGCTAAGCAACCCGTATGTGCAGAAGAGAATCTCACAAAACTGTCATTGTAGTACTGCTCTGTGGGTCTGAGTCGAAATTTTCTTTTTTTTTTGTGAATTGGAGGTTGTTATTATGGTTGGAATGTAGATGTCAATGACAACGTTGAAATGAATTTAATTTAATTGTTCCAATAGAAAGGGTAGAACTTGGAATAGCTTGCACAACAAAAGACGGGTTAATTCATTCTTTTTATGATGATTAATTCATGTACAAGAGAGATCATGTGATACATGATTAAGGAGTGAGCCATGTTTAAGTTGACGAAAGGGAGAGCAATGAGATGGAATAATTGAGAATGAGAAAGTTACAATGTCTTACGTCTAAAATAAGTTGTTTTTAAAGAACATAGTAGAAATGGGTTTGTGCAACAAACCTACCGACTTAAGATTTAAGGAACTTGTTGTTTTTGTTGTTTCTTGCCAGATACCATTCCGTAGCAGGTTTTTTCGGACGTTTTCTAGGCTCAGAAGGAACCGCAACAATGACAACTACTCTAGTTTCATTATCATCAATCTTCTCTTTGATTGCATTTTATGAAGGACTTAGAGTAGTTAGTATCAGAATGAAAGCCAGGAAAGTCAGAATGGTTAAGTAGAGGGGACATTGGGCAGGATTGCGCTGAGTAGTCTAAGAATGAATCATTATTGGAGTGATACTTCTTTGTTGGGGCGAGCTCAAACCACAATAAGATTGTTCCTTTATGGCCTAAGAGTCAAGGGCATCAAGTATGTTAACAACCATTTTGGTTGCAGATGAGAATGTGTATGTTAACCTCCTCAAGTTCACGGTGGTGAGAGCCTCGCGCATCGGACCATCTTTATGATAATGAAACTTGAATAGAAAAATCTTGCTGATGTGCATACTTTCTTTGTGCAATTAGGTGTTGTAAATAAAGTTATTTCCAATAGTTTGAATTTGTTTAAAACAAAGCAACTTTGTTGTTTTAATTTGTTCAGTTTTTATATGCAGATCTTTCTGATGAAATGAGAGAGCTACTTCTTTTCTCTGTGAAAGAACTCAAGGAGCTGCTTAAGGGTCAAGGATCTGATCTGCTTCTTGGCTTTGGAAGCACTGAAGATGTCATATTAGAACTTGTAAATAAGGTTGCTAAACAGGGATTAATGTCATGTTGTACCTCACTCTGCAAATAGATGTCAGATTTGTTTTGTGTACTCTGCATGTGCAGTACTTCATCTTTGCTAGCCCCCTGATTTATCTTATCCCTCAAAGTGTTTCAGGTAAAGCCGAGTCACATATATGCAGAAGAGGAGGTAGAATATAATCTTCGTAAGCTGGCCACTACCGTCGAATCATCTTTATCTGCAGTACCATTCTCATGGGGAAACCCTGAATTTATCTTTTGGAGGACTCCCTTTTATGATTTTAAGGTAGTTCAGTTTGTACTTATATTTGATTTTTATATGTTTCAGGTCTATTTTATTTCTGTAATATATCATGTTACTGCTTGATGTCTGCCCAGAATTTAAAGGAATTATCTGCATCATACCATGAGTTTACAAAACTGAAGCTGTCTATATCTCTTCCAATGCCAGCTCCGGCCATACCTGTTTTGAGCATGGAGTTGAAAACTAGTATGCTTTTGAGTTCCTTAATGTCATTTTTGTCAAATGTTTGTGTATGTGTTGATGTGCGAAATGGTATTTGTTTTTCATATAATTGTGAATTTTCTTTTCAGGTGCATTACCGTCTCTTGTTGATGTAAAGAACTATCTGGATGGTGCACCTTGTCAGTTAGATGACAGCTGGATTTCTCTTAAGAAAGCTTCACCTATGTCCATATTAAAAAGGAATAGGAATCAAAATATTATGAAAACTGATCCTGCTGAAAGGGGCGAATATTATGATGAAAAGGGAAAAGAAACCTCATCGACTTTCAACAATGTGCGAAGTACAAAAATTTCAAATTCCATGTTTGTGTCACAAGAGGGGAGTCTGGTGAAAGGTGGAACAAACACTGTGTTAAATGCTCTCGCTGCTTATTTGCGATATTTAGAAGGAACAGCAAGGGATGATTGGCAAGAGTATGTAGTTGGCTTGCTTCTTTATATTTTATCCATTATCTTGGTGAAAATAGGCACTTATCATTCACTTTCTCTGGGTTTACATAGGTTACTCTAATCTTGTAGGAAATTTGTTGGGATTTCCCTGATCTTACATAATCTTAAAATATTTTCAGGCTGTCATTTTCCCATCCAACCAAGGGAATGTCATGTACATCTTTTACGTACAGCTTTTGTATTCCCAAAAAGAATATATCTGAAACTTCCTGTTCACTAATGATGTCCTGGATACATGCAAGTCCTAGATATTAGGACAAATATTTATCTTTTTTGTGTATAACTAAATTACAAAATATGTAATTAATTGCTTGCCGATATTTGTTACATTCTGTGCATTGCTATCTTTGCTACAACTTGTGACTTACCTAATATTATCAAGCATGATCATGCACATTTTATTTTATAAGATTCAGCAGTTTTGTATTGCCTGATTCATTAAATTCAATAAGTAGGTTGCATGACAAGTTACGGAGAGCTGAAAGAAGGAAGGGAGCCTCATTCAATGCGTTGTTTGGTTCTGCCCTTTACTTTGGAACTATATCTCGAAGGAGAGTGTACTATGAAGCTATAAAGTATGAGAAAGAACGCAATGGAGGCTTTCTATCACCATTTGGATATTCAGCACCTACAGTTGCAGCAGCAGTTGATGCTGTTTGTTCCATGGAGGTAGGACCTTGGGGTTTATCAACCTAAAATGTGTGAAGTTAGTTTTTTTTTTGTTTGTATCTGCATTTTGAGATTTGGAAAATCATATGACAACTGCAAACTACATCTTTAAGGTCAATTTGTTCATCTGTCTAACAATGCACTGATCATGCAACAGTGGTATTCGGTTCTGGCTTTGAAAAGCCAAATATGCAATGAAGGAGTGTACCCCGTTTGGATTTGGAGATGGAAAGGTCATTTTGTTCAGGTAATTTGTGAGCACAAAGTTTTATTTTTAATTTCCTGTCTTGCTGCCTTCTTTCCTTTATGTCAATAAAACTACACAGATCAGCACTGAATGTCCAATAAGACATGAAAATGAAGTATCACAGGTCAATCTCTTTAAAATAAAATGGAAATGAAGTTGGTCTGTCCTGTACGTCTGAACTGGTCCTGTCCTGAACATTTCATAGATGCTGCAAGCTTGATTTTCAACTGGAAGCCACGGAGGGTGTCAGAAAAAACATATTAGTTTCAGGAGTATGTGTAAAGAAATAACTTACGGTTTTTGTTTCTTTACCCTTATTTTTTGAGTCACAGTGAAGGTTTTGCACATTAGTAGGTTTGATATTGGTCATTATGCTAATTGTTACATGGCATGTTATTTAATCAGGCCATAAAATACTTCCATGTGCATTCTCATTTACAATAATTTTGCCTTTAGTACACAGCTGTTGGCAACGAAGGACCTGCAGCTCTTCTTGTTCATGGTTTTGGAGCTTTCCTGGAGCATTTCCGTGGCAACATATCTACCATTGCTGATGGTGGCAATCGGGTTTGGGCTATTTCGCTGTTGGGTTTCGGGAAGTCAGAGAAACCAAATGTCATATATACTGAACTTTTGTGGGCAGAGTTGTTGAGAGATTTTATTGTTGATGTTGTGAGAGAACCTGTTCATCTCGTTGGCAACTCGTTAGGTGGTATGTCTGAGCTCATGATAGTGCAACGATCTACTGAGTGATTGTATCTAATATCATTTTTTTTTTTCACTTGAGTTGCACTTCATTATGAATTTGTTTGGAAACTTCTTAATCCAACACTTTTTTTTCCAGGTTATTTTGTTGCTACAGTTGCAGGTCTATGGCCTTCTCTGGTGAAGTCTTTGGTTCTTATTAACACAGCTGGTTCGATTGTTCCCACCGTTTCGTCTATTCCTTCAGTTGATGTAAAGCTGATTCAGGTTCTATATCAGTCACAATTGTGTAGTTGCATCTTTCATAACATACTAGAGTGTTACTGTTCTTGCTCATGTCGGTTAAAACTTCACATTTTTTGTTGCATTTTGTCAGATCTGGAATGCTTTGCATGAAATTGTATAAAATATTGGCTATGTACAGAATTTGTTGGAATATGATATACTGTAGTTTGAAGTTTATCATTACATTTCAACTCATCTAGTCAATATTTACTTTTTTCAGCAAATAAGTATTTAAATACTTTTAATTTAATTAATACTTATTTTTTTAATGAACTCACCGATGAAAGATCCATGTAGCCAACCACAAATAGTTATCATTATAGCTTGTTGTTGATGATGATGATATTCTGATCCAAACACAACCTTAGAAATTTGAACAAATGTCTGCTATGTCGAAAGAATTGACACCTGCTACGTTAAAAGAACCGAATGTCTTGATATGTCACAACCAATACAATCAATATGGACAAGCATCTGAGAAATAAAGCCTTGTCTTTAGTGATCGCTTTATAAGCAAACCGTATTGTGTATTTAGTATTAGTAGTTTCTGTGTGTTTATCAGATGATAAAAATAACACCATCTAACCTTCAGTGTTGTTGTCATCATCTTTGTGAGAAATTTGAATTGTGAGGTTGCCAATTATGCATAAATTTGTTCTTTCAGGAAAGGAAAATATCTGGGCTTGCTTGGTTGCAGGCACAACTGCTGCTGCTGTTCCTGAGGTCAACAGCTGGCAAGTTCATTGAGAAGTGTTACCCAACTGTATGTGAACCTTAAGGATTTTCCCTTGATCTTTTTCTTGCATAAATTACATGCCATTGATATATGTGCTGTGTATTTTGTCATTCATTTGATTCAGAACGTAGAGCGGGTGGACGGTTGGCTTCTTGGTGAAATTCTCAGGGCTGTATCCTCATTTATGATTTGACAATTCTGAGAATTATTATGATGGTCTAATTTCTGAACTGTTATATCTGTTCAAAAATTAATGTACCACTGCTTCCTTCCACCTGTGATGAATGCAACAAAAGTATTTCTGACCTCCAATTTATTGGAGCACTGAACTTACATCTTGAATATTAGATGTTGCTATAAAACTACAATTCTTATTCATCAATTTCAACTTTAGGCCATTGTTTGTACTCGAGGAATCCACATGCTAAAAGGGTCTCTTTCATTAGGTACATCATGGATTGACAGTGCCACACATTTTACAACAAAATTTTGTTTTCTTTTGTTTGTAATACCTGACTTCTCATTTTTTACGCATTGCATTTTGTGCAGCTCAGACTTCAGACATGGAAATATATACATTATATTGGAGACTTAATTATGTGATATTGCTACTGATGCATAGCTATCTGTTGGTTAAGAATGGATACCTGAAATTAGGATGTGAGACATCTAAAGTTTAGATTCTTTTAGGCTTTATATTTTCCTTGACCAAAATCAGTCATTTGATCCCGGTGCAGCCATTGTTATGGAAAGTATCGTGAGCTTTGATTTGTCTATTCCTCTTAATTACCTACTTGGCTCCTTTGGAGGAGAGGTATTGATTATACAAGTAAGTGCATGATAGATGAGTTGAGTTAAGAAGGCTCATGCGTGATCAGTTAATCAGCTGATGGTGCATTGTGTTCTTGACAAACCAGGGGATGAAAGACCCACTGACCAAATCCAAAGCATTCTTGTCCATGGTCAGGGAGCACTGCAACAAGGTCACAGTAAGTGAATTGGATGCAGGTAACTGGTTCAACCCTTTCTGAAGCAAAATCAGATCTAGACATAATTTCTGTTTGTCTAAAATTGGAAGGATGAGATCTTAAAGCCTTGTTCATTCAGATGATGATGATATATATTTTTTAGTTTAGTTGGATGGCAGTCCTATTCCGATATACACTCACTGTTTGATAATGTTGTTTCAGGTCACTGCCCCCATGATGAGGTGCCACAGAAAGTGAATTCAACATTAAGAGAATGGATAACCAGAGTTGAAAGCAGTCTATACATCTTGGAGAGAGCTTAATCTTCTGTACTGAACATTCCTACACAGTTAACTCTCTTTTTCTTCCGAGAAACTCAAGAGAAAGAAATATATATATCACCTTACAGTAAAAAGCCCTCCTATTTGAAAATGAACAGAGTTTGGCAACAGATGCCTCTGCTCATCCAACTTCATCTAATTGAGGCGTTCCGATTTCCACGGTATTCCTTTTTAATAATATTATTTCATGATATTTGGATTTGATTATGAACATGCTGGTGATTCCGTTTCTGTATCAGTTCAAATGCAACCTTGCATGCAACCTTGATATCTGGATTTGATTATGAACTCGCTGGTGATTCCTCTTCTGTATCAGTTCAAATGCAACCTTGCTGAGGACCGGCCGCGGACCGAGAATTAATATCCGACCAAGCATACGGCTTCTTATTCCCGCAGGAAATGTAGACGTGACTGTCTTCTAAGGTTGTAGAAAGCTAACTTTACAGACTACATTAAGCTGCCAATTGCAAACCACGTAACCAAATAAATATCACGGAAATGAATCCATTCGGCATCCAACATTCCTTGTAACATTTCTTTCGTTCCAAAATCTGTGTAACCAGTAATTTTTTGCTGCTAAAATACCGAAAAGAAACAGAAGTACTTAAGCTCATGAACGCTTGTGATACATAAAAATCTTTCCTCACTTCAGCCACATCGCATGTTGTTTACAGAAAATGAATAAGGAAAAAAATCCGGTTACTCAAGAGAAGAGAGAGAGAGAGATATGGGACTTAGAATCTGATGTCAGAAACATACATGCAAAAGTGTTCGACATAGGAAATGTCAAGCTCTCTAGGCATCACTTGTCATAAGATCGATATTTTGAGAAATGATCTTTTTGACGCTTAAGTTAGTGTCGTATGTCAAGCTCTCTAGGCATCACTTGTCATAAGATTGATATTTTGAGAAATGATCTTTTGACGCTTAAGCTAGTGATCGAAGTTTCTTTATGAGTATGATTTTTTTTTTTTTTTGAAAAAAGAGCTCATTGGCATAGCGCCGGTGATTATCTTTTATATCTTACTTCAGAGGGGATAACTTGTAACCGTTCCAACGTCCCCTTCTTAGCGTTTTGTCTAAACGAGAGATATGAGGAAGACAGTCCTGAACGATCTGTCTTGGACTTTTGTCCATGCGGGTAAATGAGTGGGGAGTAACATAGACATTTTTTTCTTCCACGATACCTTCCACGTGGCGCTTATATATCGGATAATAGTTGGTTATTAATATATTCCTTATCAATTGTCCCTCCCAAGACATGCTTCAGGGCTCTTGTCGGGGGGCTCGGAGTATGATGTTTAATTCATCTGATAGACTTATTGCCAACCTGCCCCTTCGTGGCATCCATAAGATAGATGTTGGTCGGGCAGGGGTCTGAATTTTCTCAACTCACATACTTTGATACCTTCTCTATCGTCGTATTTCGACTCACATGCCTTGAGGTAATCCTTGGTGTTATGTCATATAATTTATTTTTTGAAAAAAACTAATATACACAAAGAGACCTCGGTCAC